GTCCTGCTAGGAAAGAAGGGTTCCTAGAGCATCACTGCTGGTCTTATGGAGCTAAGAAATGCCTTGCACACAGAGGCACTCAGTGCTATTCTCTGAATGCAATATACCTGAAGTGCATTTAATGTAATTCCAGATCAAGAGGAAGCAACGTGGGCCAAGACCCTTCTCTACGATCGATCACTGTGTCAGGTCAACTTCCTGAGTGCTGAATGTGACAGAGGAGCAAATTAACTATACATCATTACATTAAACCCATTTGGTTTCCTTCTCATAAAATTAGGATATATAAGCTAAATACTTTTATTCCTACACTATAAATGGAGAAACCCAAGAGCAGAAGCCTGAGCAGGGGATGATATACTGATATTCTCATCAGCTTCATGGGCTGTCCTCACTCGTTTCTTGCAACATTTTTTTCTTTTTTTTTTAAGTTTATTTGTTTTGAGAGGGAGAGAGTGAGCGATCAGGGGAGGGGAGAGACAGAGAGAGGGAAAGAGAGAATCCCAAGCAGACTTCATGCTGTCTGTGCAGAGCCTGACGTAGGGCTCAGTCTCATGAACCATGAGATCAAGAGTCAGATGCTTAACCAGCTGAGCCACCCAGGCGCCCCTCTTGCAACAACATTAAACAGCTCTTATGTGGATCAGCACAATCAAATGCCCTGTAACGTAAGCTCTGATTGAGGAGCGTACCAATTTCTGGGAGCACTGAGGAAGAGAGATTGATATGCCTGGAGAAAGTTCCACTGAGTGATATTTTAGCTTAATTTGGATTTCTGCAGGACAAGGGGAAAAGGTGGGGCAGGGTGAAATAATCAGGCAGGGAGAAGGCTGAATCACCTTGGGGCTACCAAACAACTCATATTTATACCTTGCATTTTTACCTTGACAGGGAAGTGGTAGAGCAGCAGCAGCACAAAAGCAAAAGTGGGGCTACGTGCCAGCACCATAAACCCCTTTGTTCGAGAAGGTGTGGATACATTCACAGATGTATCCATCTGTATCCGTAAGTCGTTCACTCTGCTCCACCCCTTCATTCCAATCCTCCCCCACACCCCACACCTCTTGTCAGACTTCTCCTGGCAGAAGTGAGACGAGCCTGCTGGCCTGGCACAATCTGCTTCAGCTGGGTTTGCCACCCACCCCCCTGTTCTCGCCATCTTGGACAGTGACAGAGCTCTGGGATTTTAAACCGGGGCTGGGTCTACCCAAAGCGGCCCCCCTCTCTCCCATGTTATCATCAGCTGAAGCTTGTTTTTTGGCCTGTAGTCAGGTCCATACTTGTACAGGCTCTGCATGGCTCTGGCCCCAAGGGCATTGGGCTAATTGGGGAGGCCTTTGGAGGGGGTCCCAGTGACACAGCCCTGCCTTCCCCAGCAGACAGAGTCCTGGTGTCAGGGTGAGAAAGGCTTATCCTCAGATGGCTGACAGCTTTGGAGTGGGGGTGTTTGGAGCAAGCAGGGGACGATGGAGGCTGCATGAGTCGGTCTTTGCCTCAAAGAAATGACACGGGCCTCACACTGAAATGTGGGTTTGAGTCTGGGTTTACCCCTTAAGAGTGTGAGAACCTGGCTACATCCTTTAGGCTGCATGCCCATGGCTTTCTTCACTTACAATTTAGGAATAAAAGTACTTATCTCACATAATACAATTTTATGAGGATTAAACCAAATCGGTTTAATGTAAATGGGCCTGACACAGTGATTGTAGAGAAGGGTCTCCGTCTGAATCCTTTCCTCTTAATCTGGAATCACAGTAAATGCCCTGCATACGTATTGCGTCCAATAGCACTAAGTGCCTTCTGTGTGCAAGGCATTTATTAGCTCTGTGGGATAAGAGATGATGCTCTAGGAACCTAGAAGACGATAGGAGACATTCCTTTTTCAGCAGAACAGCATGTTTTAGTGCCACGAGCCCTATCTTGTTGTTGTTACCTTGGATCTGGCTTACTTTCAATCACCCACACTAACTGAAGGGTATCATGTCATTGGTAATGGTAGTGCCTACAATGTACTGTCGGTGACTTTGTCCTGCTGTGCAGAAAATTATTTTTGATAGCTTCTCTTTAGCTTTGGAATGCTTTCTATAGGCAACGGCAGACTTATTTTCCTTTATTAAATTGACACGAATTATTTTGCTAGTGTTCTATGCTCTGAGGACTCAAAGTTGAGTGAGACACTGGCAGAAATGCAAAAAAAAAAAAAAAAAAAAAAAAAAAAAAAAAAAAAAAAAAGGTGACAAATCCCATGATAAAGGTACAAGCAGATCTAGTTCTGGTTTAGAGGGAAAGAAGATCTCATGGAGGAGGTAATATATCAGGATGGGCTAGGTTTGCCGCAATGTTGAATGACCGTGAACTCTCAGTGGCTTCACGTCCCGGAAGCTGACTTCTCACTCATGCTCCATAGCCAGTGCTCATCGCATCTGCAAGAGTCTCTGCCCACTGCAGCCCCTTAGGATCACAGGGTGATGGAGGTTTTGTCTGTACAAGTACCTCACTGGGGAAGAGGGCTTGGGAGTGCGTATTCCTTCCTTAGGCCCCTACCTGGAAGTGGTGTTTATTGTTTAACATTTCCTCGTCCACAGCTAGCCATGTGACCACACCTAACTTCAAAGTGGAAGGAGTGCAATCCTCGCCTGTGCCCAGAAGGCAGAACGCTAAAAGCCCTCAGTGAATAACGACAACACACTCATGACTACCGTGGGAGACTTTGTCCCAATGTGCAGAGACGAGTGTGAAGGAGAAGGGCTTGTCAGTGCACAAGGGCCTTTAGGAAAGGTGCACATGTCGGAAAGTCTGGTTTCAGGGACAGGGTCCAAACAGGAATGCTGGGAAGCAAGCTTGCAAAGGAAGACAGGTCACACTGTGAAAGCCATGCTAAGGAGGCTGGATTTGATCCAGGAGACACTGAACGTTCTACAGAAGCTGTGGCTTCGGAAGAGTAACTTGAGGGGCTCCTGGGTGGCTCAGCCAGTCAAGCGTCCAACTCTAGATTTTGGCTCAGGTCATGATCTCACGGTTCATGGGTTCAAGTGGTGCACTGGGCTCTGTGCTGGCAATGTGGAGCCTGCTTGGAACTCTCTCTTTCTCTCTCTCTCTCTGCCTCTCCCCAGCTCTCTCTCTCTCTTAAAATAAATAAATTAAACTTAAAAAAGGAAGAGTAACTTACAGGAGGGATCAGAGGATGGCAAACTGGAGACAGGAGATCCATTTGCTCTTATGTAAATCCAGGAAAAGGGTGATAAAGGTTTGCTTTCAAGGGGTCTTCTAAAGGGGGAGGAAAGAAAAGAGCTATACATATAAGCAACTTGAGAGAAAGACTTGACCGGATTTGGAACTAATTAGATACAAGGTATAAGAGGGTGGACAGTGAAAGATAAGTCCAAGATTTTGAGCCTAGGAGACCACTGTTACAGCTAGAGAAAGAGTGGAAGATGGTCAAGTCTGGAAAGGAAGTTTGGGGCTTGTTGTTTGCAAAGTGGAAATTTTTATTTTACTTTTGTTTCCCAGCACCTATAACAGTACTTAGCATATAATATGTGCTCAATAATATTTGTTGATTATGTAATACCAGTAGAGCACAAATGGAGAAGTTCCCAAGCAATTATTACTGTTTAAAGTCTTTTTTTTTTTTTTTAAGTTTATTCATTTATTATTCCAGAGAGAGAGAGAGAGAGAGAGAGAGAGAGAGAGAACAAGCAGGGGAGGGGCAAAGAGAGGGGGCGGGGGAGACACAGAATCCAAAGCAGGCTCCAGGCTCTGGGCTATCAGCACAGAGGTGGATGTAGGGCTCTGAACTCACTGTGAGATCATGACCTGAGCTGAAGTCAGATGCTTAACGGACTGAGGCGCCCAGGCGCCCACTCTCCCACCCCCCGCCCAGCAATTATTAATGCAGAATTGGGACTCCTTCGTGATGTCAGTAAGAGGAAGGCAGATCTACCTATTTGAAGCCATAAGATGAGATGAGTCGTCAAGAAAGTGTAGAGAAAAAAGGGGGGAGGCTGAAGAGATTACTTTGGGAACCTTGACATTTAGAGGCCAGAAAGTAGAACCAGAGTCCAGGGAAGGTGAACATTTGAGGATGGAATCAATCAGTACTGGCTGCTGCAAACAGGTGCAGGATGCTGGGGACAGGTAAGATGGCGTTTGGTGGAGCAGCTAGACTCTTTGGTCACCCACCCAGGGAAAGGTGGACACGAACGACAGCACGGGCCTCCTAGCAGTGGGGGACAGGTAGCAACAAGCCACGGGGCAGGAGGGCAGTGGCTGGAGGGGAGGCTGGGTCAAGGGGCGGTTCCGGTGTTTGTCTGGTTTGGAAGGGTTATAATTGAGACCTGGTCATTTAGCAAGGTGGAGAGGGATTGAAGACGCAAGAGGGAGGGAAAGAAACCATGGGTGGCATCCAGGAGGCGGATGGAAGGGTCATCCCCCAGCGCAAAGGGCCACCTCTAGGAGAGGGAGAGAGCGAGGTGGACTCAATTTTGTTGCTGTTAGGTACTCACCGAGGGCCCAGTAAGCGCGGGGCACAGTTAATGCTCATGGCCACCACCGCGCAGGTCTCCGGGTCTTACTTGTCCCTCACCTCCCCGCCCGTGGCCTTGTGTTTCCCTTCGCCCTGAGGGGAGGAGGCAGGCCCCGAGGGGAGGAGGCAGAGCGAGGCTCTGCGCGGGGCGGGAACCGGCGAGGGGGCGGCGGGGCCTGGGAAAGGTGAGCCGGCGAGGCGGACGGACGGCGGGGCGGGCCCCGGGGAGGCCACACCCTGAAACTACCTGCCTGGGACAGGAAGAGTGAGGGCGAGAGCGACCGCCGGCGGCCAGCACGCGGGGTTGCTACCGGAACTCGGCACGCCCCGCGCCCCCCGTGTCCCCCGCCCTCCTAGCGCCCCGGTGCGCCCCTGTGCGCCCCGCGCCCTTCGCGCCCCTAGCGCCCCGACGGCGATGGGAGCCAGCCGCCCGCGGGGACCACGCCTCTGAGACCCGCGACCGACCGCTGGTACCATGAAGAGCAATCGGGCACGCAAGGGCGGAGGGGGTTCCAAGGACCTCGGCGCAGGACTCAAGTACAGCTCGCGGCCTCAGGTTGGCGAGGGGCGCGGCGGGCTTTGCGGGCATCGTCGGGGCCCGGGAAGCCACCAGTGTGGCCGGGAGCGGGGCGACGGGAGCGGGCGCCGAGGGCCCGGGCGCTTTGTCTTGGCAAAGGGAACCGCTCCATTGCCCATTTGTGGCCCGGGCGCTGGCCGGCCCGACAGGTGGAATTTCCTGTTTGGCGGGTGCCTGGCGGACCTTTGGTACCAGCCCTGCCGCGCGCCAGCCGGCCCAGGTGGAGGCGGCAACCCTCGGGTCTTTGGAGACTCCGAGTCTCTCCTCTAGCCTTCCTGCCCACTCGGTCCTTTCCCTGACCCGAGAAAAGGGCTCCATCTCGGTCCCTCCATTAACTCCGCACTCTTAGTGCACATCTGGAAAGGACCATGGGCGGAGGCCCGGAGTGTGGTGATTTGGGCTGAGTAAGGATGGTTTCCAGGGGGCCTTGGGGTCATAGCCATCCTTGGTCTCTGCGGGAGTTCGTTGTTTTCCTTCCTGGTCAGAGGGCATTTTGCGACCTTTGCAGAGGGCTACTGGGAGACCAGAGCTCTGAGTGCCATAGAGCCTGGTGCTAAGGACCCCAGGGTTGGACTTGTCTGGCCTTCTCTAAGAGGGTATGAAGCCCTTTGGGAAGGTGATTTTGTGAGAAGGGATGTAAGAACATGTGTCTTGAGCCTTTTGGAAGATGCCCAAGCAGGAAGCTCTTGTTTGGCAGACAAAATCGCCGGAGACCTTAAACCTTGATGTAAGAGTTGGGGATGGGTTGGTGCTTTATTGATGGACACACCTAGTGGCAGTGCCCAGGCAGGACTAGCAACCAGACCTCTGCCTCTGTCCAGCTGGGACCCTGGGTTTCCCTGAAATGCCAGAGAAGCCCAGGTCATGGCTGGCGCTGGGTGGGTGCTGGGGGGGGGGTGCGTTTTGTGAGGGAGCTTTCTCTGC